AAGGTCCCTTCCAGTTCTAGGAGATAGGCAATCTCCATTAATTTATAACTTGTTTAGTACTCTTAGATCTAGTATGGTGTTCTAACCTCCTTTTCGCTTGAAAACCAGGAAACTTTGGGAATAAAAGCCTTTTCATTCGAAGTGCACAGGAACAGGTTCTTTGGCTCCTAAGGAGATGATCTATTTCCTCTCTTAATAGTCTTGCGAGAAAAGGTCCCTGAAAAGGGATGGGGTGGGAGAGCAGTAAACTGGACAGAAGAACCTTGGAAATTACCACCACAACCCATCTGTTGGAAACTAAGTACTCTAGCACTGGAGGAAAAGAAAGAGGTGACATCCAAAGGAATGTGAAATGCATGTAGGTTTCAGCTGTTGTGGGGAGTGGTCTTTCAGGGCCTCAAACCAAGGCATTCAAACTGCTGTTTCAAAGTGGAAGGCTGATGTACCAAGGACTGAGCAGTGGTTTAATGCCTTTGAATACTAGACCTCTTTTGCTGTGGCTCATAGTAATGCTGTGAGGGCAGGTATTGGAGTGGTCGGTACCTATGGGATTATGAAGAATTGAATTTCCACTCTTTTTCCTGGTGTGGAGATCTGTAGTGAATGCAGTGTGGCACCGGAGTCCTTAAGAGTTTGGAGTGAGTCTTGTCTGACAAAAGTTTGGAGCCTTGACCATTCCTGTACCTCTTCCGTCACTCTTGAGAAGTGACACCACAATGCCCATCACATCACCACCACCGATATCACGCAAACTGCTGTATCCATCTTCCTGCTACTGACTGGTCCTTGAAACTGTTCCTATAGTGCTTCTGGAAAATGGTCAATAAATATATTAAGTTTAGCATAGTTCATGTGGTCATGCTTTCCCATTAAGACTTGATAATATGCAATCTTGAAGTATGCCTTCCTACCAAATAAATCAAGTCTCTTCTAGTCTCTCATAAGGGGTGGATTTAGTATGATGCTGTTGATGGGAATTCATAGCAGCCATAATGATGAAGATAGGCGAAGGTTCTGGAAAAAGGAATTCTGCATCCTTGGAAGGCACACAGTACTTTTTATTGGTCCTTTTACATGCTGTTGTGATAGAGGATGGCCTCTTGCTCCTCAAAAGTTTCCTCTTAAAGTTCTGGGGCTCTGGCAACAGAGGCTGAAGGAGACGATCTTATCAATTTTTGGTAGGAAACACCAGATGTCCAAGAAATATGATGTTTATAGGCTACCTATGGGTCTTAATATGGCTACTGGGGTGGGAGAAAGGGCATGGGTGGTGGAATCCACCAGTGGTGATAACAGGAGCGTTGAGGCTCAGACCAATGATGTACAGGGAGTGCCCTGGTTGATGTAGATATGAGCCATGTGTGAGGGTTATGAGAGGATAGCATCATGGTCATTATTTAAGTTCTTGCTGTATAGTAGTGAAGGAGACAAGAAGAGGTGAGCATGTCAGCACTAGCAGTGATTCTAGGGATCAAGATGGGTTAGGTACTGGGGCCCTGGCACCAAAGCAGCTGGGACACTGGAGTCTCAGCCACCATGAAATCTCAAAAAAAATTTAACTCCTGTGGTACCGCAGTGATCGGTGCTGAAAGGGCTTGTCCACGCTGACGTGCCAGTACCGAGGAAACTGGCAGAGATCTTGTGCGGGATGACTGTGGGCTGTTTGGAAATAGTCTGTACCACAGATTTCCACTTCAGCAGCATTTTTGCGGAGATGGTATTATCTTTCCTTTTGCCTTTGACAGTGAGCACGGCTGTTTCAGAGTTTGTGCCCTGCAGATTTTTAGGTTTATAGGCAGCGTCTGCAGTAGAGGACCCATCTGTCCTATGAGTACCGTGTTTTGGAGCAACTGGTGCAGAGGTGAACAAGTATGCTGGGGATCTCCACCAGCCCGAGAGCTCAGTTTGAGGGCTTGCAGCCCTCTTTTTGGCAAATTTGTGAGGGAAATCAGAAGATTTTCTCCTTAGCTCAACCTTAGAGGCTGACAGATCTGTGAACAATCTTCACCACAGAGGTGATATGGGGCTAGGGTCAGACATCAATTTAAGAGCACCTTCCATAGGAGGGGTTTCAACTTTAATACCTAGTTCTTTTGGGATCTAGCCTTCCATTGTTGCCAGAAGGTACACTTTTATGGAACATATGAGCCTCTAAGGCAGAGAGCACAGCAGCAGTGTTCATCTTAACCGGTATTGCCTCCCTGCAGAAGAGATATCATTTAAATCCAGAATAGACACAAACATACCTACAGTGTAGCACCCATAGGGACACTACTCAAAGTAGTTGTTTAAAGTTCTAGGAAAGACATAGCTTTTCTAGAGCATTACCATCCATTGATAATGGAGATTTACCAATACATACCCAGTCTGCTTCTATGAAATGGTGGGTAAGAAAACAGTTTGTGGCCTCCTTGTCAAGGTTATGAAACTCAATCAAAGAAAGTAATAAAGTTTACCTTAGAGACTAGGACAGAGAAAATCAGTCTGAACAAAAAAGGTCTCAAGTGCTGAGGTTCCTGCCAGCACCCGCTTGTCTTTTAATGCCTTTATACTCAGAACTGTTAAGATCACTGTTGCCAAAGTGTCTTGCAAAGCAGACAACAATTAACAATTGTAATCAATGAAACAGCTGTACCCAATACAAAGGAAGCTTGCACGGAAGCTAATACTGATAGCCTACTGGAAGTTATCAGTATGCATAGGACTTTCATGCTGAGCAATTAATGCCTGTTCAAACAAACTATGCAGCACTATACTACAACTATTAGTGGCTTTGGTACTTCAACAACGTAAGAAAAGTTATTTACTTACTTATTCCCACAGTGTAAGAACTAGGGGTCACCAAATAAAATTAATAGGGAGCAGGTTAAAACAAGGAAAAAGAAGTTTTTCTTCACTTAGCGCACAGTCAACCTGTGGAACTCCTTGCCAGAGGATGCAGAGAAGGCTAGAACTTAACAGGGTTCAAAAAAAGAGATAGATGGATTCATGGAGGTTAGGTCCATCAATGGCTAGTAGCCAGGATGTGTAAAAATGGTGTCCCTAGCCTCTGTTTGTCTGCAAGTGGGAGATGGGACGATCACGTGAGGATTACCTGTTGTGATCTTTCCCTCTGGGGCATCTGGTATTGACCACTGTTGGCAGACAGGATAATCACCTAGATGGACCTTTGTTCTGACCCAGTATGACCATTCTTATGTTCTTTACATGGTCTGGAAAAAGAGCAGCTCACAATAGATAATTAATACTTTCTGTCATCCAACAGGTGTTGAGACTGGCTAAACAGTTCATAGGAAATCAAAATATATATTCACAGACTGCCCTTGCAAATCTGATAGAGACCGTGATTTCAGCACATGAGAGAAATCAGACTGAAGTAACATTAAGGGCACTATTTGGTTTGGAATAATGTATGTAGGAGACGGAGATAAATAAACGATGGGGGGACAAACCTCTTCAATCCCCATCTGCCATCAAAGGGACATCTATTTCCTTCTGATTAAAATGTGTTAAAATATGTTCTTATGTTCCAAATAGAAGCAGAACACCACCATGGCTTAAACAAGTTAAAAAAATTATAGTAAGTTGCCAGTACCTCATTAAACATTGTTCTCTCTTTTCTTATATTTCCTTTCCCACCATTAGTGATTAAAAGAGAGAACTGGATGTGAAAAATTTTCAAGATAACTTACTTCAAGCTAAGTTCATTCGTTCAATGAATACAGAGGCACACAAACGTAAAGCACACCCTTAAGTTTGTTATGTTTGGACAGCGTTTCACATAATGGGGCCCTGATCTTTGATTGGGGTCCAGAAACAGAATGCAAAGAAAAATAATAATCTTCAGATGAACCAGGAAGTGCCAAGATACAGAAAAAAATATGCTGCTACCCTGAACTACTTTTACAGTGCTGGAATGCAACATTGCAAGCATGCTACCATATCTTAGACCACCACCTATGCAGGGTTTGTCACCATCACAACTTGAATAGGAAAGGCCAAGAAACAGATGCTATGGAGTTAGTTCTGATGTTTCAAATACATGGGACTTCTAGATGACACTGAAGTAACAGCCCCAGCATACTAGTTTTGGGATACAGTTCTGCTGAACATGCCAACTTTTAGAAGGACAAAACTGAACCCATGTTATACTTTTGTTTGGGTAGTGACATACTGCTTAAAATACCTGCATTTCTCCTGCAACATCAACTAAAGAGGACACTGTTACTTACATCCTTTTGAAAACTGATGTATACTACTTCAGCATACTGTTAAAGCTGCTTATGTTCCACTCGAGAGATGGAGATGTCTAGATGTGTCAGAATGTTGTTTGCAACAATACCTTTATAACTTATAAAGAAATTTTTGAGGGTGAAAAGTTCTATATAAGCATATGGTACTATTTTCTCTGAAAAAATCAGGCATAAAGTCACTAGATATATGGGAGAAAAATATATACTCAAATGCAGTGCAGAGACTCATGCTGACTCTGTATAAGGGTGAATTTCAACCATGATGAATACCTTCATTCGTAAGTACCAAAAAGGAGAAAGAAAATACAGAGTGAGCATAAGACAATTTAATGGGATTTAACTGGCCTTTGCTTCTAACTTGGCAGTGGTCTGGTTAAGCAGACTTTTTATTTATAAAGCAACAAAAAGGAATTACATTCTTAGGATTACAAGTACTTTTCTGACCAGGTACAATTTAGCTTTAAACTTTTTTTAAAAAAATAGGCTTTTCGGGCAAGTCAGTTTTTTTAAAATAGTCCAATTAACATTTTAGTGAAAACTTTTAAAATCCATCAAAAGATTTACATATGAAAAACCAGCTGCTGAGCAAGAAAAAGGGTACATTTAAAAGCTTTGTTTTATACACTTCTTTTTTAGTATAATGGTTTGTTGTTTTTTAACTAGACCCCCTCACTTAGCAAGTGTAAAGGCACAGAACAGAAGCTACTGTCATTTTTTGTTTTAATGGGGAGAGTCTAAAATTCTTACCTGTAAATGATGTATTTTAGATTCATTATTCCGCAGCATTTCCTTCTGTCTTTCAATTTCTATTTCAAAGCTACAAATCTGATTATGTAAAGTTTGTATACTCTTGTTCTTTTCCAAACTTTCATTCTGGAGCATGGCCACCTGGAAAAAATTCTACAATTACTCCTGCCAAAACTGATGAAAATACCTATAACTTCATTTTTTAAAACTGTCCTACAGATTTCCCCTTAAATTCAGAAGAAAGATCCTAGCAAAATCTCTTTCCATAACTACCAGAAAAATCTGAAACTTCTAATGGCTTTTTTGTCCTCCTCCCACATAATTGTATTGATACCTCTTGGCCTAAGAAACGAGAAAAAGGGATATGCAAAGGCAGCAATAAATATGATCTCTAAACACAACTGTTTAATTGGATTCGTATTTAATAGGTCAGTGTCCAGGCTTTCAACTGACTCCCTAGCATGGAGTTGGTTAGAAGTTCAGAGGAAGCAGCCTATTTAGCTCCAGACTGGGTTTGGTTTACTAATTTTACTTAGAGAAATGCCAAAGAAAAGTAGCATTAAAAAGTTCTATGTAGGAAGGATGAAGTTTAGTAAATACTATTCCCCCATGCTAAATCCTAATCTAAACAAATTAATCAAGTATGGTAATTCAGTGGGATTGGGATGGCTGGGCACTAAAGAAAGGTGGTCAAAGTAGCTGAAATCTGTGAAGCCAGAGAAAATCCAAAAGGGTAGACTAGCACGCAAAGAGGATGCTAATGAGGATATTCTTTGTCTGTAGGGACACACCTTTTTATACATACTATTCATTTGTGACTGGTTGTGATTTTTAAACCATCAGCCATGTCATTGGAATACTGTGTGGAACATCTTTCAGGAGCCACAAAAAGCTTTTACATAATTTCCTTCTGGCAAAAAGCACGCATTGTCCCTATGAGCAAGACACAGTGGGTGAAGTAATATCCTGGGACCAACATGGCTACAACTATTGGTATGTTCTTCAACAATAAAACAAAGTATTTGACATCTAGACAAGGTTTGACTCATTACATCTCAGCAGTGCTTCTGACAGAGAATACAAAACACCATTTTTGATCCAATAAAACAAATGGGAAAGTCCCTCAGACTAATTAATTATAACAAATTTAAACAACAGAACTAAGCAACGCCAAGACAACTTTTTGTGCAGAGGTCACCAACCAGTAAATCAGGATCAACTAGTTTATCTTTGAGCCTCTGACAGGTGATCCTGACTGGTTTGGCTGGGAGGCTATCAAGTGCCAGCACTTCAGCTATCCCTCCCCCCCACTGCTTTTCCTGCCCCGCTGTCTTAGAGCTGCCGCCAGGAGCATCCTGCTTGCTGTGCAATATGGGGGAGGAAGAAGAGGGGGAAACTGATGTCAGGGTGTCCTCAACCCCACCACCTCTATACCCCATCTCCACAGAGAGGGGGAATACGACAGGGTTCGGGATGGAAGGAGCTTGATGGCAGCTGCTCCTATGTCTGAACATGCTCAGCATCCTCAAAGGAGGATCTCTCTCATTCTCCTGGAAGTAGCTGGCATGTCCCTGTAGCCCCTGGAGGAGGCAGGGCATGGAGTTACACATGCTGCCTTGGCCTGCCAGCGCCACCCCTATAGCTCTCCTTGGCCAGGAATGGGTAACCATGGCTATTGGGAAGTGTAAGGGTGGTGCCTAAGGATGGGGGACAGCATGTGGAGTCACTTGCTCCTCTGCCCCAGGAGGGCTGCTGCACATGCTAGCCACTATCAGGAGTAGTGCAGGGCCAGGGTGGGGCTGAGCCTACCTTACCCTAGTGCACCACCGCCTGCGAGCCAACTGAGGTAAATAGTATCCAGCCGGAGCCCACATTATGAACCCCTGCTCCAGTCCTGAGCTACTCCTGCTCTCCTAGCCTGAAGCCCCTCCCACACTCCGAACCCCTTGGCCAAAGACCAGAGCCTACATGCCAAATCCCTGTCTTTGCATAGTGAAAGTGAGTGAAGATGTGGAAGGGAGGGGGAGGAAGTAAGCAGGGCAGGGCTGCAGAGAAGAGATCAGGTGGGACGGAGCCTTGGAGAAGGGGCAGGGAAGAAGGCAGGGCAAGAGTACTTGGGTTTGAGATAGATCCTGGATTACACTTAAATTCAAGACATGATCTTGTGCTTAAAAAAAAGCTGGAAACAACTGCTTTAACGCTTATCTGATTACGACAACCTTGACTTATAGCGAAGTAGGCACAACTCTTGGTGCATCATCATTTTTGCTGTTTTAAAACCTTGCTCAGTATTTTCTGTGTTGTTACTTCACTGCCAGTCTCAGAGTCAAGAACGAGATCTTTACAAGGCAAGGTTAAGAAGTAGTGATTTCCATCCCCGCAAAGTGCAATCGCTGAATACCCAGACAAATTAAGAGTGCTCAACAGCACTAAAAACTTAAGGGGACATGATCGCACCACAAGCAGATCATATACCTCATTTCTAGTATAACACAATAGAAGAGGGTCTAGTAGAAATAAGGCATGAAGCTGATTTTTTTCTTGCATTACAGAGGGATAAAACTGCCACCACTGAAGAAAAGCATACCAAGTGTATTGGGGATATTTTTCAAGAACAGTTAAACCATGTGAAAGATTTCCTTCTGAATAAAATCAGACCTTCTGGGTAGCTACTCTAATTTGTGCATCCAACTTTTCCTTAATGAATCAGAGTTTTTACTTGATTGTGAAATTTGCCATTCTCTTTCTCTCATTATTTTCCTCTCCATGTCTCCTGATCACAAGCCAGCTGCATCTGTGCTGCAGGTATTATATTTCCATTTTTAGGTAAGCTACATTGTATGGCCTGCCTTGTATTGGAATTTTCTATGCAGTTATAGGGCCATATCTTATGATCCTTAGGTCAGACAAAATGCTACATTTGGGTGTGAGAACAATGAATCTAAAAGTAACTCATGCAGGAATAGAGATAAATAGACAGGAATCACATTTCATTTGTCTGAATTTGATTACATTAATCAGAAAAGGGAGCACAAAAGGAAACAAAACTATTATCAGCATTTTATGTACTGTACCTGAAATCAAATAAATAATTTCTTCACTTGCTTGCCATATTTCAGTGTTATTATGTTGTTGTGTTCCAAAAGCATTTAACGAATAAAGGCATTATTTTGCAATTTCAGAATTCTATTTTAGGAAACCAATTCACACTTCCAGATAAGAAATGAAAACATTTCTCATCCCCTACAAGATTGGATTAAATAGTCAATCTCCACATTTAAATCATATGGCATGGCTTTGTATTTAAACATACATAGCAGGACTTAGAGAAGTTACACAATTTTGAGTGTGTCACGATTCCCAGCCTCCCAAAATCCCAGAGTATTTTGATTCAGGCTTCTATAGTTTGAGCCACTACAAAGAATGATTTAAATCATGAAATTCAGATTCCCCACCATCCAAAGTTTTCATTGGCTATACATTTGTTTCATCTCCTTACTTTTCTGTCAACAACAATATTCACTCACTGATGTTATCATTTAGCAAATACTTTGGAAGTGACAACAGACAGCAAGCCTGAAGGTTTTCAGTTAGTACACCATTTAGGTGTTATGTGACATCAAAAATGTATTCTGAATGGGAGCAGTTAACTTCTTTTATTTCCCTCCATACCAACCCAGTTAAGTACACAGGATGAACTTCTGGCCTCACTTAAGTCAGTGGCTAAACTCCTGTTGGCTTCAGTGTGGTCAAGATTTCACTTATATTCTTCAGAAGTTCTCTCTTCACCCTAATGCATTCAGTGCCATGAATTACTGGAAGAAGGTCCTTAGGCTTTGTTTACATGCCTAAAAGTAAAGCACAGCTGTGGCAGTGTTTTAAAGCAAAAGTCTGACCATGGCAGGAGTGCTGGGAAGTTGTTCTCCTATCACTCTATGTAAGCCACCCGTGTGAGGGGAGTAATTAACAGAACTGGAAACTTGTTTACACTGGTGCTTTACAGAGCTGTAACTTGTGCTCAGGGACAGGAGTGGAGTGTTTTTTCAGAACCCTGAGCCAGAAAGCTGAAAGGCAGTAAAATGGCAGTGCAGACTTGGCCTAAGTCACAATCCAATTTGTAACATCTCTTGACAATAAAAATCACTGACATGTGATATGTGGTTAGCTATTCTGGTAACTTGGTACTGTCCTGGGATTTCCAGTGATTCAACTCATTCATTATGAATAGGAAGAAGTCTACAAAGCAGGAAGTGCAAAAAGACAACTGTGATAAACACGTATGCTCTACAACTTGGTGAAAAAAAATCATACCAAGGCTTTAATTTTCTTACTACTAAAAACAATAAAGAGAGACAGAATTTCTCAACAGCTTTTGAATGATAACATGCGTATCAAGGCAATTATTTTTAAGTGCAATATGTAAGAAAAATATACTGTAAATCAATGGAAGAGGTTTCTTTTAATTATGTAAAATAAATGTTATATCTTGACTCAAATTAGGAAGAGAGAAAATCAGAATATAAAACTGAATCTGTTAAAGCTGAAGCATTTTGGTATCTACATTACCACTAAAATTATGGGAGTTTCTTAGATCGAAAAGGTGAGGGTAAACTGAGATGCTGTTCTTCTTTGCAGCGAAACTAAAATTTACACAAAGAAATACATCTGACTAAAACACATTAGAGTCCTCCAGAACAGGAAAAATTGTTTTCTGAACTTCTGAGGGGAAAAAAATGCTAGCACAGCAGAGAAATTGCTCTCCACCTAGTTCAGTGAAATAAACTTCTGTAGATTGACTAAAATAATAGGATTATGTCTCTATTTGCCAATGGGCTCACATGTGAATTGCTTTATGTTGCGCGTTATTTTAATATATATATGCCTTCACTTGACACTGCCCACCTCCTCCAAAACAGGCTAATGATTCTGCAGACTTTTCTACTTTTAGATTTAGGAGAATTTGTTAAGAAACACCAGATTAAAAGTAATTTGATATTTGGTTAAGCTATCAAAATAATGCTTTATATAAAACACTGACCCTTTTAAGACCTGTCACTTTAAAATATGTTGACTCATTACACTATTGATCGGGTGCAGCACTGAAACATATCGTAAAGTTGAAGACTACGAAAGTCTGCTTTTTAAACACAACCTAAATGCCCTAAAGGACTTGTAGCTGTTAGTGAGGTGATCTGCAGTGATTGGTCTCACAATAAATTCCCCCAATATCCCAAAACTCTTTAAAGACAAGAGTTCCAAGGGAGCACTGTAGTATGTGAACTTCAAACAGACCCAGCATCAGAACAGAAACCAGCTGACCTGAGAGTAACAGCATGTTGATTAATAAAAGTCTCTTCAGGCCAAGAAGCTTGGAGGGCTCTTGATAAATTTAAAATAAAAATGAAGCCGGTTCAGTATGTGCAGTTTTCCAGGATCTGATCTCCAGAAAAATACACAGGTAGATGCAGCTCCTAACACTACAGTACTTTCCCTAACAGCACTTTCATAAGAAAAAAGACTGAGGGGAAAATTTAATGATTGCTGGTTTAATAAATTAAATATTTAATACTAAATTCATAGTAGCAAGTTAATAAAAATTTACATATTTACATGTGAAGCCAATTTTATTTTCTTGTAATACAAATGTTACACTAATTTACAGGGTTTTGAACCTAGGGGTGCTTTAGCTGTATTTCAAAACAGCTTCTGAACAAGTCTTTTTCTCTGTTTTTATAGAATTTAAAGAAATCCATGAAAATTAAAGTTAGTAGAAGATATACCTTATTCTCTAGAGAATTACTCCACTCTTTCAATAAGTTAACATGCTGCACTGCTGAGCTGGCTTCATGTGCTTTAATTTGCTGATTTGTTCCCTGTGACAACAAAGAATTTATACATTTTAGCCAATTTCACTTTAAAAAAAACCCCAATAATATAACACAAGAATATAAAACCAACACTACATATATTTTGGTACACGAATGTACTTTGCAAAAATATAGAGGGGAAATCTACTTGGGAACACATAAAAAAGTGAGAAATACATTTAGTAGAGCTTTTTAATCCAATTGCTGTATATGTCCAATGTGCTTATTTTATCAGATGCAATAAAAATGGAGAAAAGACGTACAAAATGAATTGTTTTAAAACCATTTCTATAACTTTTATCATAAAAAATAATAAAACTCAAGTCATGTAACTCAAACATCTGATACCACAAATAGTTTAACCATTTTATAAATTACTGTAAAATTACTGTAAAATTTCCATTGATGTAAATATAAAAGAGAAATAGTAAAGGTAAATTTATCATCACTGGAAACTGCCAACTGTGTAGAATCTGTTAACTAAAACAGTTTAGAGTGGCTAATTTATAGGAAGTTAGAAAGACATATCCACTGTTGCTTTATGATGTTCAGATTTCCTGTCCCTGCGCAGTCTGCAAATGTTGGTACAAATAACCACTTTAAGTTTACAAAACACACATAGATAGTATACAGAGTACATAAGATGCAGATCATGTTATCTTTTACTTCACGCCATACTTCAGCAACTGTTTGCAAGGCAATTTATATTTATTTTGAATCTAGATATGTTGCCAGCAACTGGAAAAATTTCAATGATCTTCAATGTATATACTCTATATAAAATATTCAAAAATATATATGTGGATATATGTACATATATACACACATATACATACATAAAAAGAATGAACAGTGATACATAAGACATAACAGTGGGCAATGCTATATCATTTGTTATTTCTACAGTTGAGAAATCAACTGTATTTTTCTGTTTAAATTGCTGAATGTTTTATTTGTTCACTTGCAGAATATTAAAGGCCTGATCCAAAATCCTTTGGCATTAATGGGAAAAATACTTCAATGGGACTCAGAACAGGCTTTAAGGTATCAGTGGAAAAGAAGGTTTATAGGAGAGTTGCTACACATAGATCTGATTTCATAGGTTACCATGAACTTCAAAATTATTGCATTTAATGTGATCAACTCCTTTTTTCCTGTCAGCAGCTTTTGAATTTTTATGTAAATTGTCAGAATTCGCTGACATGATCAAACACATAGTATGAAAAGTAAGATATTGCATATAGGGAAAAACTACACTCAGGTTTTTTCTTGCTTTGTGGTGACTTCTAGGATTTAATCTGCAGTTTTTATTAATTCTATTCTGTGGTTCAACTATGCACACGCGCGCGCACACACGCACACACACACCATCTATACATTCTGAGTGGGCCAATCTATTTTTAATCATGTATATATTCATATTTGCCAACAGAAGAAACTAAATTTAAATCAGAAAAAAATAAATACTGTCATAGAACAGCAGAAATTACTAGATAACTTGTGGTGAAAAAAAATGACTCTCCTATTTCAAAGAGGGGAAGTTAAAATTTTTAATATAATATCTTAAGATCTAAGACATCTGTAACTGGCTAAATGAATCCCAAGACATTGCCAGTGTGTGTGTATGCTCTTTATAATTTACATAAAAAGTATGCAAAAACGAACACCTGCTGCATATAGTCTTAACCACTCATGCAACTGGATCAATGTTTCTTAACCAAGAGCAGAGAAGTTGCAACTTTCATGTCAAAATGTTAAATTTTCTTATTGCAGACTTTCATCATTTGGGAAGTATAATTGTTATATACTGACCTGAAAAGTGCAGCCATAACGCTTAAAACTACAGGTACTTGGGGCATTAATACATTCTGACAAATGTGCATTCAACTGCAATAGGAAAAAAATATGAGTTTTGGCAGAAACCGTTTGCATGATAATGCTCAGAACATATAAAGGGCACAGATTATCAGGTTTGTATTGTGTTCCATTTGTAAAACATACAGTACATGTATGTATATTATCTCCACTCTGACTCAGAGTGCATATACACATGTAACCACACGCACATTCCAATACAATATACAGAGAGACACATTTATTTACAGTGAAACCTCCACTGAAGACCGTTCCTATAGGCAACCCCATTAAAAACACTTTATAGAAATCCAAGACTTTCCATACATTTTTGTTTGACTTAATTAAAGGCCAGTATTTACTTACAAATGACTTTTGCTGGTCTGTTGGATAGTCACTTAAGACCAGTTTCACTGTAGTAACATACATCTTTTCTAACTCTAGTTCCATTAGGAACAGACTGTCAAAACATGACATGCAGTTCTCAATGCCAGAAAAAAAAACTAAACAATGAAGACTGTAAACAAATACAGCATGAAACAGACAAATACTTTATACCAAGGTGCAGTTGAGTCACAGGTATAACATAGCACACAAGAGTGAATGTTCGTAAGTAGGAAAAGGCCTGCTTTTTACACAGGTTCTGATTGATGATAAACACAGAAAATAACTTGTGCTTTAAAATAAAATCACAGAAGTGTATACAAAGAGCCCTAATGAAATGCAGCCATTTTTAGGGGACAAAAAATGCAAACTGCTTAAAAGCTGGAATGAAAGGCCATTGAACACTATGAAAAATCTTATCCCTTCTGACAAGTGTTTTAGAGCTTTATTTCTTTAGAGAGCAGAGAGGACCTATAGGCCAGATCCTCATCTAGTGTAAACTGTCATAGCTCTACTGAGTTCAAGAAACTTAAGATCTTACTTGAAAGACCTGCACAGTAAGCCCTGTGGTACTCAACTCATCCACCTCCAAAAAAGGCCTGAATTGATCCTGCCTGCATATGAAACTGTGGCCCTACAGAGAAGCTTAAATAATCCCTCTTTGGCATACACAGCATTTACTTTGTTTTAATCACGTACTGCAGAAATTTACAAAAGAAACATTTCAGGAAAAAAATATTAAATCAAAGAAGAAAAAGTACATGTGCTACACAAGACTTCAGTGGGGCACTACTTCTTCCATTTCCTCAAAACTAAGCACTGTGCCAACCATTTACACATATTAAGAGTAGTTCCTATCTTATAATGAAAACACCATGTTCACTTTTTGTGCACTCCCAAGAATGGCACAACACACACAATTTTCTCAAACTGTTAAGCAGGCATTTGCCTACATCACTTTAGAACAGCTTTCCCTAATAATCCAACTTGGCTTCAGATTCATTTTCTTAATATCAGAAAAAAAATTAATCAGCAGTCAACAAAACGATGCCAGAAATGATGGCAGCTGATTAAAGTCAAACTCTGCCAATCCGTATCATCAAGCTTCACACTTACTGATGTGTGTTGACCTCTTGTTTTCAAATGGGACAACTCACAGTTGTAAGGACTAAGCACTCAACTCTTAACTCCATCACTACTCAGGAGAGCATTTAAGCATTTCTTACTGATGTCAGTGGGATTTAAGATCATGTATAGGCATTATTCTGAAGAGCAGTGCTTTCCTGAATCAGTAATTACTGGCAGAATTGAGCCCCAAGGCTGCCCTCCACTTGTGTAATTAGATGTATACATCATCATCTTGTAAGTATATCTACTAATGTGCACAAGACCTAATACAGGGTGTCCCCGCTATAAGTTACCCCTGTAAATCCATTCCGCACTAAAGTCATCGATGCTTGTAGGAACTGATGCATTATAAGACCTCCCATTCCCTGCTCTTATGTCATGCCAAAAAAAAGTTTTGTTTTTTTTTTTAAATGAACAAATGGAAGTCAGCCACATGGGAAAAAAATCCCCGCTTTAAGCTGTTTCACTGTAAGTCCACTTTTTTGGAACATATCTTGGACTTATAGCAAAGACGGGCCTGTATACATTTTAGGTAGAGATGTTAAAATGCGGGTAATTGTGTAAACATGTAACTACTGAAAAACTTAACAGTTACAAGTCTCACTTGTATCAGAGGTAATAGCACAGGGTGCTCCCCAGGAGTTGGTGTTCGTGGGGAACCAGCTTTTAAATCCAGCTCCCCGCGCATACTGGCTCCCAGGGAGCTGGCTGCTGCCCCCACAGTGCTGCCTCAGATACAGACGCAGCAACATAGGGAAGCAGCCAGCTCCCCATGTGCCTGGGTATAACTATGAATGTTAACTGATAAGGCCAAGCTAATCAGTTAATCTTTTACACAGTCATATGCTCACATCCCTAATTTTAGGTTGCACATTTCTTGGGCAGATCCAGTTGGAAAATGCCTGACACTTTGGGCACTAAATATGATTATTCACTTCTTATAATCCTAAAATGATTTATTCCTATATCAAAAGAACAACAGTCCAAAAAAATAAAAAATCTAACCGAATACCAGTGAAAAGTAATTCAAAATGATGAATTTAAAGTATGACAATATGGCGTGCGGGAAACAAATATGTGCTCCCCATTCTAAATTATACAAAAGTATTTATTGTTAGGAAAACATGCACATCAGCCTTTATAGACTCTAGTAAGGTATGATTAAATTAAGGAATACATTTAAATATCGTAAGATACAAAAGGCAGTTATTGGCTCAAAATATTAACTGAATTTTCTACATAAGTTAAAAGCTTTAGAAGCTTGTTGGTCCTGATCACAAAGAATGTCATACTGGATTGGTCTGTCTACACCAGTATCCATTCTCTGACCATGACCAATGCTGAAGGATTTAGGGGAAGGTTCCAACCTTTCATGATGCAACTGACAAACATAAAGAAGAATTTTTTTCTTAATCTCAGCTGTTAATAAGTTTTACTTCAAAGCAGTAATATTATCCCAATAGTGTGGAATACAGACATTAAATACTGAATCCTGTCGAGTAAGACTGAACTATTTACTTAACTTTTACCCTGTGGCAGTGAGTTTCACAGTGTTTCCTTTTCGACATTTACACTTGGTGCCTATTAATTTAGCCAAAAGTGCCTTCTTATCCTTGTACTGAGTAAAAAGAAGCATCAGAATTTTGTATATATAGCTAATTCTTTTTAACTTAAATATTTCTAAGGCATCTATAATACCATGATATCTAAGTGGCAGGTATTTTATTCTCCTACTTTCTAAATTTAAGAGTCCTAATAATATTTTTAATCTTTCGCATGGACCAACTCCACACAACAGCTATTCATTTATATACTTCTCTGAACATTTTCAATGCCTGCTTTGTTCTTTTCTGATATGAAGAGAGAAAATCAAAACAGCATTTAAGGTCAGGCTATACCCCTGACACATACCACTAAGCAGATGAGACCCATCACTGACCAGGCAAAGTCATTTTGCATGGATTGTGTTTATAGGAAAGTTCAAGAAATTAAATAGATGTAAAAGAATGTTTTATTAAGGTGCTTACAAAAGGGAAGTAAAAAACAGTTTTACATTTGTAGGATTTCAACTTCAAGCATTCATTTTTATTGAATAATTACCATACAGAATAAATTGGAATCAGAAACTCAAAGTTTCCATTACTCTTTTCGAACTAATTTAATTTTGTGATTTATAACACTAAAAATTGTCTTTGCACTAAAATGGAGGTTGAATTGGGGACTCAATTTTAATTTTGTTAGCAAATATTTTTATGAACTCTAGTCATAACAGTTATGACTTTTTTCCGATGAAAAACAAAAATAATGATTTAAACCTTTCATCCAGAATATTCTGGTGTAGTGCATTCAGCTAATTTAAGTGGCAGGATTGTTTATGTAAAATTTGGTATCTGTACGTAATCACTAAGTATGACCTTATTTTGCACAAACAAATCCACAAGCTCTTCAAAATAAACAATAGATTTAAGGCATCTCTAATGTCAGATTATAATGCTATATTTTAGATTTCTCATTCTATTTGAATACTGAAATGGAAGAACATGTACTGCATAACACTATTCAAAAGTTCTGCTCTACTGGCCTCATTAAGTGCTTCTAACTCAATTTCCATTGAGAAAGCAGGAAAGATAAAAGCTCATTTTTTGGTTGGGATTGGCCCTGCCTAGAGCAGGGGGCTGGACTTGATGACCTTCTGAGGTCTCTTTCAGCTCTCTGGTTCTATGATTTTGACAAGCCGTGTATAATAAACACAGAAAATTAGGAAAGGAATTTCTGAAAGATATTTTATTAACAAATAACTAAAAAAAATCAAAAAATTATCACACACTTAACTGTAGTGGTAGATAAGCCTTTACTTTAGATCTCACATAGTAATAAGGAAATGGCTTCTGGCAAAATTCTTGCGAGATCTTATTAATCACAAAGTTCTATCCTGAACACTGTTGAATAGGGCTTTATTTAATTTTTCAGCACAACTCTGGGCATGACTTCTTACCTCACTCCTCAAGAGTGATGTAACACTGCATTTATGAGGACATGAAACCACGACACAGGGACAGTCTGTATCTTCATGTTTCTAAAAGGGGAAAAAAAGCAAAGCAAATTATAATTTATACATTATATTTAAAATTACAAACCATTTGGAACAGCAGTTATATGGAAAAAGTAGTAACTTACCATGGTATAATTAAAAATATATTCACATGGATATAGTGAGCAGAACAGTGAACATTACAAATTTATTTGTACAAAGTTTAGAATGAACAAACATTGATGTTAAACTTTCAATTTATGTACATTTATCAACTGTTTATTATTCAGAAAAATACGGAATTTATCATATTTCCTGTGCGAAGAACAGTTCAAATAATCCTTTATCAAAAAAATCTCAATAAAAATAAAGTTCTCAACCCCATTAATCATCTGGGAGGAATATATTATTGGAAGAGAGGAGAATTGCCAGGATGATAACCCTTCCAATATCACCATACACTGTACTGCAATATCTTCAGATATTTATGTTTCTGAATGCCAGAGAACACTGTAAATCCACATGCTCGTATTCACTCTCTTGATATCCTTTAATTTTTAATTTCATTGCCATTTGATATTGAGTTCTTGCACTACACATCAAAACACTTAAAACTCATTTAAAGCTCTTTATAATCAAACTACAGTGCACTTTTTGTGTTCATCTCCTAATTTACATCCATTTCTCACTATGTCAGACAGGTCTGAAAGAATAAGCTTAAAAAACAACAAATAGTCTGACAGCACTTTAAAGACTAACAAAACATGTAGATGGTATTATGAGCTTTTGTGGGCACAGCCCATGGCTTGCTGGTCATCTGAAGAAGTGGGCTGTGCCCACGAAAGCTCATGATACCATCTACATGTTTTGTTAGTCTGGTAGCACTTTAAAGACTATTTGTTGTTTTTTAAGTTTATCCTGTACAGACTAACTCGGCTACCCCCTGAAGGTCTGACAGATTAAGGGATACTCCTGACCGACAGTAAAAGAAAACTTCTGACCATTCTCTCTCTGGTTCCTTGTGTGCTTCAGGGTCCAGCCCCAGTGGCTTAATGGACCAGGCACTGGCCTCTAGAACCAGGGGTTGTGGGTTCAAGTCCCACCTGGGGTATAGAAGCCTTCTGAGGCTTGCTTGGGAACCCCTGACTTGTGTGCTTCAGGAGGTAAGTAATCCACTACTAGTTCAAGGCCCAAAAGCATTCTCCTTGAAAATTAACAGGAGCCCTTCTAGTGACTTTCAACACATATTTGATTTTCATCCTAGCAACAGAACACTACTACTTCCATTTTTGACCAGCAAAACTCATGTCTTGCTTCTGGGCACCCACTCTCTATAGAGGCTGCTTTTAATTCTTCCATATGATGTGAGATGCAGGTTACACATAATCTAGTTTTAAAATTAAGTTAGGGTAACACGGTTTCCAGAATAGCAAAAGCAGTATGCAAACCCATTTCACAGCAATTAAATATTTTTCTGCATAGTACTTTGATTCTTTAATAATAAAATAAAACATTCACTTCTGTTTTTGCTTTGAAGAATGAGCAATTTTGTCTGCCAGAAAGACACAGTGGAGCGTGGATAGTGGATTGTACCAAAAGCTTTATGTATGCTTCAAATAAAACAAAACTGTGTACAAAAACCAATCTCACCTAGCGAGACAAAGCACTGCATAAGACAAATGCTTGTGCTTTTTAAAATTTTAATTGTAAGTCCACATCGCTATCTAAATAGTCTACCAGCCACAAAGGGGATTTCCTAGGCTGTAGGGCAGGCAGATTCTATGAAGACATGAGCTGTACATGAAACAAGAAAAATTATTTTTGTTTCCATTTGCATACCTTTGGTTTTTTCTTTGCACCATCTCAAAAAATCATTGTACTGATTCTCATTTTCTGTTCAAGTCCCTGAAATGCGTGTCTGACTTATTAATGTACTTTAAAACCTGATGGTCTGCACAGGCCAACAGAGATGAACTGAAGCTTAGAGTGAGCAGACAGACTGCACAAAGCAAATCTCTCTTTCATCTGACTGAATGGTCTGGTTACAAGCAGGCTGAGTCTTGGTACTCAAGCAGAGTGAGGTAATATTCTAATATAAACCCCAAATTAACAGCATTTGTATAATCTCCCAGATTATATTTTCCCAGGCTTTTAAAACAGTGTAGGCACAAACACATTTACTGCTTGATCAGTGGCTGATCTCTGCTCGTCCTGGATTTTAATGTTGTGGATATTTTTGCACCCCTGAAACACCAAAGACACCATGACCAGAAGCTGGTCCTACCAAGAGAACTACTAGTTTTGTTAATATTTTGAATAAAGGAACACTTCATACTTTTCATCTGCTTAACTCCTACAACAAGCTGGCATTGGTCTAACTCTATAAAGGTTCCTGCTCTTTCCTTTTTATGCTTCAGTGATTCATTTTAATCACATTTTTTAACAGAATTCAGAAGTTTTTGCATTCGCCTAGTCACTGAACATTTGGTTGGCATCTATAACACCATTTTCTACATCCGGACACTCTTGTCGCTCTTCCTTAACTTTCCAGAGCCCCTTTCAGTTCTGCAGGATATGGTCTTACAGTTTTAATTTGGGACCTATATGTTGATTAAATAAAAAGTTGGATGAAAAGCAAGAGAAGGTTTTTCCTATCTGTGCAATTAGCCTGCTCCAGCCATCTAGGATCAGACCAAACTAGAAAGTAATCCTTAATGACCCTCATTCTCATGGGGACAAGAGACTTCTCGGGGACATCCTAATGTCCAGGCCAGTAGCAGCTGGTACAGAGACAGGAAGGATAGCACATACAAACTTGCTCTTGTTGAGATGCTTATAAAGATGCAAAATATGAAAAGCACTGGCTAATACTTCAGATTTTTACTACATATAAAATGACTGACGTCTTAGTATACAACTCAGTTTAGTATGAAGTGCCCTCACTTTGCAGAGCCTGAAAAAATACTATTGGTGCAGATGAAGTTATGCTTTTTAGAATGCCCCCAGTTTACCCAGTTTTCAGGAAAATCTTTTCTTAAACTTTTTTTCCCCTCCCAGAACTATAGGAAACAGCGTGTGTAAATCAAAAATAACCATTGCTCTTTTTAGAAATATGAATTAAGATGTATTTTTATATCTTTTCAAAGATTAAACTCTAATAATTATAGGCAAAATGCACAACTAAGTTGTTTCAGGAAATGCAGCAAGAGAAGCGGAGAAACTTCCACTTCTGTTATTCAAATCTTACTTTCAGAAGACCAGATCTTTTTTTTCTTTTCATGGAGGAGAAAAAATGTAGAGATATACAGGCAGTAACCCAGTGTGAATTCAGTAAGAACATATTTAAAGGATTACTTAAGTCTACAGACAATATTTAACACCTAAAAATTAAATGCAAAATAGCTTTAGAAATCTCATTTTGACCATATCCCCAACAACTCCAACCCACAGATGGCAGACTGTCAAGTTTTCCTTTAACATACAGTTTGGTGAGCTGAGTGAACAAAAGAGATGATCAGAGGTATAAAACTAAGTACACCAAAACTGTAATCTTCTTGTAACTAAGGTCAGAGGTTATAATAATGCACTTAAGGTAATAATCCAATCAACGTATACGCATAAAATGAGTGTATGTTTAAAATAAGATGAAACCTTTCATACTTTTCTCCTTTCAGATTTGCAATTCAATCATTGCACTGCCACAGCTTACAGGGCTCCCTTAAATGTACTGGACAGATATGCAAAGACAGCTGCACCAAAGATGAACCTAGTGCTCAGTCACTGTGAGATAGGCCCCTGAGTATTTTAGAAAGTCATCACTGGTTCGTATCACTTACGAAACCTTGACTAATATAGGAGAAAAGGCAGATATAGATACTAGAAGACTTACCCAGTATTGCCGAGGGGCAGGCCCAGGCTGGAGCGGAGGATATTGTGCAGGCTGCCTGCCCGGATTCTCCCCAGGGGAAGGGGGGAGGTTGGCAGTCTTCAGAGCCACTTGAGGCATGAGAGTGGTGCTGCCAGGGTAACAACAAGGACTCCCCGGGGCACTCAGCTGCTCTGCATATTTGGGTGCACCTGCACAACCCTGTGTGCTTGTATGCCCAGAGCTGCTGCAGGGCTTCTCCCTTCCCCCTCCCACACATGCTGCGGTCAGCCAGCAGAGGGCTCCCTGCTGCCAGACTGGCTACAAAGAAGTGCTTCCAACCTCTGCAGCTCAGCTCCAGCTCCAGGTAAGCCCTGGAGTCCAAGTAAGCTTCTGGGGAGGGCGGAGAGGCAGAGAACAGAGCAAGGAAGAGCCAGAATTGACCTCCTCTGGTCCAATAAACTCCTTCATTTGGAACCTGACACGCTCTGGAGGGTGCCAGCCCAGGGAGGTACAACCTGTATACCTATGTGAGCTAAGAACATTATTACTAGAACGGTCTAGCCATTCTGCAAGAGGCCCAGGGAGTTGTAGACATGGAAACATTGCACAAGTATATTAAAAATGAATATGGTGACTATATTTCAGAGTGGGGTCAATATCATAAGATGCAAAGTGGGATGACATACAACATAATGCCACCCAACCTCCACAAATTCTGCCACAAATTACTAGAATGGCAGCAAAACTCTCTCTCTTATACTTCTTTCCTGGGTCTGACAACACACTACTTACCAGACACCATACTCTTGGGCTAACAGTAACAATGTTTTCATAATATGATTGCACTTGGCACATGATATGCAGAGACAGTAGGCATTACTGAATTTTATATGTTCATTTTCTTCCTTGCCAGCTTATACAAGGGCATGTAATTCCCTGTCACAACTGCAAAAGTGATGTGAAGCTGTTTTGGATGACACAGGCACCCAAACAAAGGAAAATATATTGATGTGCTGTTCCTCAGAAACACATACCCCTGTGTGAGGGTACATTGTTATGATGGTAGATTTGTACAATATACCAATTTAAATAGGACGGAATAGCAAAAAAAAAAATTGCTAAAAATTTCCTTTGGATGCTATTCCTTGCATCATTTGAAAACTATACTTTAAAAAACAGCCAACCAAAATTACCCCGACCTGCTGAAAATTAGTTCTTTATGTTTCTGGCATTCAAATGTTTCATGTTCAATTTAATTTACAGTTTGGTCATGAATTTCCTCAACAGCAAGTACTTAACAACTAGAATACTTTCTTTTGAAATTTGACAGTGCTAGAGAAAATGGTGTGTTACATAAGGCTAAAAGCCTTATACCACTGAAAGCTGCTAAAAAACGAGCATTTGAAAAGTTGTCATTCTACATTAAGGTAAGATCTGACTTGAGTGATAGAAGAAAACACTGCACCTGTAATGTAATCATTGGGACTTGGTTTTTACAGTATTTACATGTAGTCTCCCGATAGTTACAGGTCTTTTCTATGTGGTCTGGCAAGTCTTTCCGCAGGATTTTTTCTTTGCAATCAGCACGAGGGCATGAAAGTTCTTCAAACTGACAGTCATTTCTCAAATGTATCTGTAATATAAACAATCAAATTAACGAATTTTTACATTTATCATCATCATACCCATGAAACATAACTTTCCCAAAGTAAATTCAAGACCAGAAACTAATCTTAGTTGTACACCATGTTGTATCTCAGAACATCTGCTGCTGCTGCGCATGACTACACAGTAAAGACACGTCTACATAGCAGAGTTAAACATGAAATAAGCGACGCAACTTAAGCCACGCAATTGATGTAGCTTATTTCAGCTCTTAATGCTGCGTACACAGCTAGAAGACCAAGAAAGAGTACTCTTCCTCTGACTTTCCTTATTCCTCATAAAATGAGGGTTACAGGAGTCGGAGTAAGAAGTTCTCCAGCTCAACATTTTGACATTATGTCGAAATAACGGCTTGCTCTGAAGATGCAGACTATGTTATTTTGGAATAAGGTCAGTTATTCTGAAATAACAATGCCATGTAGATATACCCTCACAGATTTACTGTGTAGAACCTAACCCTTGGATGACTGCTATATTATGTCCTGAAAAGTTAAGATTTTAGGTTATCTTAGATGTTTGGTGATACCAGAATATTACAATTACAAGTATAAGCAGAATAATCTTTATATTAGAATCCCAAAACTGGTACCAATGAAATACCAAAAGATATTCAATTCAAATTCAAAAAAGAAAATATGCAAATTAGAGCAAAAGAGAGTATCACGAAAAACAACATACCTAATAGCCTTCCAGATCTGCAAAGCAGCTGCATATTACAGGTTTTCCGAACAAGCATCTAAGTCTTGGTTTACTCTTACAATGTCTGAACATTATAGCTAAACTTTTCCAAGTGGAGAGCTTAAAAGTTAGGCACCTAAATAAACAGCCTGATGTCCATAGACGCTAAGAACACATGTCTCCTACTGAAGGACTTTTAGGCACCCTAAACCAAAAATTGTGACTATTGACTAAGATATTTTATAGATCTATTAAAAGTGGAGTTTCAAAAACACTATTTATAATAACTTCTATAAACAGGCAGACTAGCTCACATTGCTGATTAATCAGGAAGTAGGCAGATGAAAATTAAATTTTGTAGATTTTTTCATTCTTTAGTTTGAAAGAAAGAATGTGATGGCATCACGGTACTTACCAGTAATTGTGCCAGTGTCAGCAGTTCATTGCAGCCTTTGCTTTCATTTCTGCAGTAAATCTGAAGGGCAAGAAGCTCTCTCCTACAGCAGTTATCCTTAAATACCTGAAATTTGAAGCCACTTTGTTTTAGATTTAAAAACAGTTTAAGAACATAAACACTTCAAATAAAGTAGAAATACTTTAAGACAATCCCACAATAGCAATATTAGTTCATTCAAGGTATGAGTGCAGGGAGCTGACTGATACTGCAAACTAGAAAAAAAAAAAACCACACAGTTTTTCTTGATTGTGCATTCACAGCAATGAGACTCTCATGGCAACCTAACAAAGAAAAAATAAATAGGGCTTGCCTTTAAAAATCTTTCTGGTTTATAAAGAGGACTGAAAGCCTCCTGCCAATCCCACTTTTTGAGTTTTAACTATTTTTCTGATTGTTTCTTACACTGATCAATTTCCATGGGTGAGAGAGATGACGGCTCTGTTTAGGCTTGAAAGAATTTCTCTCACCTATAGAAGCTATCTTTTTAATGGGAAATTAAGTCACTCATGGCTTGGGGAAAGACTAGGAGAAACAAATTTTCACAAATGAGGAAAGAATAAAGTGATTAACCCGGCATAAAGGAGAGCAACCTGTATGTCGTAACAAAGTGTGCATCAGAGCACAGCATGCCTAGCAATGATATATGGCAGGACAGTGATCAAATAGCGAGAACAGCACTAATCAGACATTGTGAAGCAATGTCTAAACATTTCAGCAGTACTTATGTATTTAAAATCATAGCATCCAAATTAATCTTTTTTTCTTCCATCCTAGTCTATTGAAGCTATAGCTTCCATTGAGTGTCCATATATTTAACATACAAGTCCATGGACTTTGTTAAAGAAGATGACTTTTGCCTTTAGTTCTTAACACAGTGCTCTTTCCTATTTTTATAGATATGAATTTCACAGTTTAGGGTGGCTCTTGCGTAAGGTCAATATTGTGCGCCTGCAAACATCTATTTATTGGGCAACAATTTCATATTCCCAATGGAATATGGCTATTTTGTAGAGGTCATGGAAGCAAAGGTGACATCTCAGCTAGCAGGAACAATTCCATCAAGGGCTTTGATCATCAGTACAGAGACTGAAGTCTGTATTCACTGGGAATAAAAGGCAGAAAGAAAGCAGCAGAGTAATATGATCACTGCAATCTGCCTTGATGAGAAGTTGCCATTTATGCCATGGAAGCTTTTTTTTTAAAAAAAAAAACAAAACACCCCAATGTGTAGCTTAGTTCCTAGTTACAAATTGCAATAAAGCAAGTCTAGATATCCTAAATACATGGATAATTATGCCTTGTTCTGAGTTCAACAGGAAAGAGTACAATTTTTTAGTCAGTTGTAGTTTGCCAACCCTCTTGCTTACTTCACTGGGAAAGCAAGCATATAATGCTGTCAGCACTGCAGAGACAACATACAGCAGAACCTCAAAATTACAAAAACCCAGAATTATGAAATAACCAGTGAACCACAACCCTCACCCCTCATTTGGAACGAGAAGTACGCAACCAGGCAGTAGCACAGATAAGAAGATGAAAAAAGCAAATACAGCATAGTGCTGTGTTATATACAAACTACTAAAAAAAAATAACGGGAAAGCTACATTTTTCTTCAGCATAGTGAAGTTTCAAAACTGTATTAAAAGTCAGTGTTCAGTTATAAAATTTTTAAAGAACCACCATAATGTTTTGTCCAAACTAGGGATGTAAAATCCCATTTAATCGGTTAACCAGTTAACTGATTAAATGGAACGGGGGAGGGAGGGAGGAAGCAGCAAGCAGCCCCCACTCTGCAGGCAGGGACTGCTTCAGCCTGGCTGCTGCTAACCCCGTATGGGCTGGGAGTCTGCAGCCTTGCACAGGGAAAGAAGCAGCAGTGGGGCAGGAAGGGCTGCCAACTCCCCGCCCGAAAGCCCATGCCATCTGGGAGCTGGCAGCCCTTTTGCCCCATCCCCACCCCTGTCCCTTCTGCCCCTCACCAGGCTTCTAAATTCCAATTACCCAGTAAGCATCATCTGGTCACATCCCTATTCCAAACATTGCCGAGTTACGAACAATTTCCGTTTCCACAGTGTTCATAACGCTGATGTTCTACTGTAGTTACATGAGAACTATTCAGCCTACTCTAACAGTAATAAAATTAAAGCAAACTTCTGATAACAGAATCTTCACTGTAGCTGTTAGATGATACAAAGTGTTTTGTATACTTTTCAGACACCAGGTTAAGTTTAATGAGCTGGCACACAAATAATCTATGGAACATGGACTCTATGAATTATTTTGGGAGGGAAAAAGGCCAAACAATTTAAAGAGACTGCAGTTTTGCATATCACAGAAAAGATAATGAAATGAAAGTTTTAAAAAATATACAAGATGTTTTTAGAGTTCTGTAAGACTAATGGGATGCTCCATTTTGTGGGAAGCAGAAGTTAGTGTGGCTTGCACAGTAAGTTTAGTATTCATTCAGTAATCCACATTGTACTTAATTTCCTCCTCCCGTATTGGTAGGAAAAGTTGAAGGTATTTGAAGTTTCCCAGCATATACAGTCACGTGTCTTTTGGGGGCGTTTAGGCAGGAGAAATAAGCAATGTCCCAGATGGATATTTTTAATTAATTATTATTTGTCTGTTGGATCTAGGAACCCCAGCATGGCAAGCACATCAGGACTCTCCTGTGTTTGGCACTGTTCAGAAAAGTATAAAAAGATGACAATCCCCAGACACCTTATAATCTGCATGGTACACTAAATAGAAAGACTGCAGGGATGAGGCAACAAGATCAACAGAATCTAGCACAAAAGCTATTTTTAAAATAAAAATAAAAATCTGATTTAATTTATAAACACAGGGAACTGGCTATAGATGCCATTAAATGGGATGAAAGCCACTGCAGAAGACTTGAACCTAAGTGCAACAGATGTGTTTCTACTAAGAGATGGATGTGGTAAGATGATATCATGTACAGGCAATGCAGCTCAGTACTCTACAGGGCTCTCTGCATCCTGGAAGAGAACATTTTGCTTATGTTTAACAGGCACCACCACCAACCGCCTGCAATTCCCAGTGGCTGCTCTTTACCATTCCTGGCCAATGGGAGCCATGGGAAGCAACAGCACATTTCTGCAGCCCCTTAACCTGCAGATGCTGCCTCCACAGCTCCCATTGGCTGGGAACAGTGAACTGCAACCACTGGAAACTGCAGGGGACAGTCCTTGCAGATGGTCAATGTCGGCAAAATGTCTCATAGCCCGCAATCAAATTACCCTGATGGGCCACATACTGACTCCAGACAGCAGGTCACTCAGCATGGCTGTAGGACATACTAGATTTAAGCTGTACAATATTGTTTTCCCCAATAAAGTGTATTACAACACTTTAAAAAAGATTCCTGCAAAAAAAAAGCACATTTTAAATATATCATAACTGAATATTAGAAATAAACTATTTTAACAATACCTTATCTTTAACTATGTGCTCTTGACACGCTGTACATTTTGGGTTAGGTGAACTGGAGAAAGAAAATGACACATTATTTTCTATCTCACTTTGAATTTTTTGTATTTATCAGATTGGTGCTAGTAAATCAAAGATGCCTTTTTATTTATAATTGCTCAAAGTATTTAAAAAGATTAATGATTAAGAAAGTATGGCTCAATGCAAGTCAGTATAGAATCAAATAGAACAAATGCTAACATTAAAGAAAACAAAATATAAAGTAATCTTATAAGAGAAGTTGAAAACTAAGTATATAGTTGAATTCAACTTCCACTTACTATGGAAAATTCATTTTAACTATTTAAAAAAACCTTTATTTAATAGCAGCATAAAATGAAGTACAGGCTTCCTTGGACAGAATTCTTCATCTTTAAAAAGTATCGCAATAATACTTTGTTGTGATGGTCTTGAATGCAGTCATTTTAAACATCTACTTATTTCTACATAAGATACATCAGACCAATATACATGTGTTTATACACCATATTACGGAAACAATATAAACAGTCGTAATGGATGAAACCATTGGTCCATTCAGCCTAGGGGACTGTGCCAGACATTCCAGAGGTGGAAACAATATGAACAGTTGTAATGGATGAAACCATTGGTCCATTTAGCCTAGGGGACTGTGCCAGACATTCCAGAGGAAGAAAAAAACTACACCATCATGCTTCCAAAAAAATTGTTCAATGCATTAAATGAAAAAACAACAACTATTCCTAACTTCTACAGCATACCCTGGGTTCAGCAGCTTTGGTTGCCCCCTCAGTATTCCAGCATACATAGACAGAAAGATTATTAGGATCTATTACATATCTAACACTAATGCACAAAATGTTTAAAGAAAAAAACCCCATCTTCCCTTGATTATTAACTTCTATTTCCTCCTCATATGAACACTTGCCTTTACTTGTGTTTGAACTATAATATCTTGCACAGCAAGTAAATTATTCTATTTTTATAAAGTGATTTGTACAGTATAAATAAGTTGTTGCTGTTAATAATATGATGGGTTACTGTAAAGGAACAACTGATCAACTGTCACTGTCATTCACAGTTTTAATATTCCAATCAAGTCCCGCTCTGCCCAATTAATCAATCAACCCCATTCCTTGTAATTGCACATTGTAAATCTCAACATGCTTCTCAGTATCTTCATTGCTTCGCAGCTTCAGGATCTTCACATTTTTCTGAAGGAAAGGTGAGCAAAACTGGTGATGTTATTCCACATGAGGGTATAGACTGTGCGATACAAATGTCATTTTCTAGCTTTTATTGAATGCACTCAGGCATCCTATCTGCTCTTTTAAACTACTGCTGCATACTGAGCAGATAGCTTCACTGAGGCTTCTCCTCAAATGACCCTGAGAATGCACTTCTCACTAGCATATAATCAGCATGTACTTAAACGTATGATGCAGTGGCTGTGAAATTTTTGTAACTAATACTTATCAAGCACAGAAGACTGCTTCTCAAAAATGTATATTCAGAAAACTTACTAGATTTCTTACCACAAAGAGCACGTTATCAGAAGACAATAAACATACCAGAACAACTCTGTTTTCCCTATTATAAAACTGATGCACTGAATAGGAATCAGAAAAAGATTTAATATTTAAATGTATCTAACTCCACTAGCTCTGCACACTCAAAATAATGCTACATTTCCACAATGAAATGCAGTTTGTTGCATATACTGAGCCAGAATGGTGATGAGAAATAAGTAGAAGGAAGGAAATTCCCAAATTCTTATTCCCACGATGAAATGCAGTTTGTTGCATATTCTGAGCCAGAATGGTGATGAGAAATGAGTAGAAGGAAGGAAATTCCCAAATTCTGTCCCCGCTCTGTTCTTGAAGTAGGGTGTTGCCTTCTTTTTTCTCCTGCAGCTTTCCCATCAATAAAGAGAGGATATTACTAAATATCTCCCCACAAGTGTGTGTTTAGATTAAAGTTTATGCAATATTTTGAACACTAATTTCTTTGCGTTTAGTGTTATTTCAAAACTTGAGCTAATGTGTTCTGAATGCCATCAGCAGTAATGTATTAGAGATGCAAATGAAAAATTATTTTAAATGGCCAAGTATTACTAAGCAGCTACAGGGCGTCCCTGCTATAATTTGCCCCAGTATACGTTGGTTCAGCTTGTGGGAACTGTTCTAAATCTTCCCAATTCCCCACTCTTCCTTCACTTAAAAAAAAAAAAAAGACCAATTCATGCAAAATGGAAATTCCCCGCTTTATATCTTTTTTGCTATATATCCACTTTTTTTGAACATATCTTGGAAGTTTAGTGAGGATGCCCTGTAGTGATTTAGTGATTTCTTACCTTTTTAAAAATAAGTGTCTGCATTTTTATTCTCATCTATGGCCATGAACAGCTGCATAATTTGGTATTTTTGTGAAAAAATAAATTAATGAAAAATTAACATGTCTTGCAATCTCTCTCAAGCCCTATATTCTTCATTTTTGGGTTTTTTTTGTAACATGCAAGACAAGATGAAACAAATGTCTATTTTTCAACATGGTTCTGCAGGTCAGAATTTTTCTATCATATTAACATGTATAACATAGTAAGAAACACACCTTAACAATGCATTAATGCAGGTCTCACAGAATCGGTGTCCACATTCCGTCTGTTTAGGATTGCACAATATGAGATGACATTTTTCACATTTATACTTGTCCTCCACTGTGTTTACAAATTTCTCTGTGTAACCACCTTGTTTTGGAATATAAATTGATCCAGGAACGTGATCAGGGTTTGTTCTTTGTTGCAACATTTCCACAGACACAGGGGGTTCTGTCTTTTTACTGGTGTCCATATTGTAATAGGAAATTTCTGTAAAAGAAAAAAAAACCAAGACATTTCTCTACTGCTGTAACTTGAGACATATATGCGCACGCACACACACACACACACACACACACACACTCATTTTCTACAAACACCATTTGTAATAGCTGTAAAAAAGGGAGTAGTTTCTCTATACACATTTACATACACAAATATAAAAATGCAGGTGCACATATGACCACTGATAGGCAAAGTTAGCATATTTGCATAATGTCTTAAAATGTGGTGAAATTATAGAAGTACTGTTCCTTTTTCAAGGGCTCTAGAAGGCTGACACAAATACTGGTCTTTTGAGCAAAGCCTTAATTATTTGAGGAAAACACGATGGGGCTTGGGCAGAGGAAGAGGTAGAAGACACATTCCTCCTTTCATTCTGCAGAAAAGGTCTCTGGTATTACCCAGCTAAGCCCCAATAATCACAACAGGCTGGGGCAAGAACCAGCAAATAGTCTGCCTCTGTCCTCAATGTAGGAGTTTAGGGACAGCAGATCCACAACGTGCACAGAACCACTTGGCCCCACACCGTTGGTCCATCAACATTACCCCTCTGTGATGAGCATCACCAGATCACAGCAGAGGGGATGCGGAGTCAGGTTGACTCCTCCACTGTTTCAGTTGCATTTTAGGGGTAAAGTACAAGCCAGAATTTGTTTGAATACAGGTGAAAACCCATATTTTTATTATCTCAAACTCCTTCTAAGCTTTTCAACCTGCATTTCCATAGGGAAATGATCAGGTGGTACAAGTCCACTTTTCAGGTGGAAACAGATCCACATTACATGACTACTCTGTGAATGCAGCAGAACCCAGCACAAATGACCTGTTCAGGAAAGAATTAACACAGTTGACGACTGAATTACAGTATCTATTATGGCAGAGATTCTGATATCTTACGGTCAGTGTATAAAGAATTGGAAGGACCACAGAAAGGAAAATTTATTCAGTATTCCAGCATACATAGACAGAAAGATTATTAGGATCTATTACATATCTAACACTAATGCACAAAATGTTTAAAGAAAAAAACCCCATCTTCCCTTGATTATTAACTTCTATTTCCTCCTCATATGAACACTTGCCTTTACTTGTGTTTGAACTATAATATCTTGCACAGCAAGTAAATTATTCTATTTTTATAAAGTGATTTGTACAGTATAAATAAGTTGTTGCTGTTAATAATATGATGGGTTACTGTAAAGGAACAACTGATCAACTGTCACTGTCATTCACAGTTTTAATATTCCAATCAAGTCCCGCTCTGCCCAATTAATCAATCAACCCCATTCCTTGTAATTGCACATTGTAAATCTCAACATGCTTCTCAGTATCTTCATTGCTTCGCAGCTTCAGGATCTTCACATTTTTCTGAAGGAAAGGTGAGCAAAACTGGTGATGTTATTCCACATGAGGGTATAGACTGTGCGATACAAATGTCATTTTCTAGCTTTTATTGAATGCACTCAGGCATCCTATCTGCTCTTTTAAACTACTGCTGCATACTGAGCAGATAGCTTCACTGAGGCTTCTCCTCAAATGACCCTGAGAATGCACTTCTCACTAGCATATAATCAGCATGTACTTAAACGTATGATGCAGTGGCTGTGAAATTTTTGTAACTAATACTTATCAAGCACAGAAGACTGCTTCTCAAAAATGTATATTCAGAAAACTTACTAGATTTCTTACCACAAAGAGCACGTTATCAGAAGACAATAAACATACCAGAACAACTCTGTTTTCCCTATTATAAAACTGATGCACTGAATAGGAATCAGAAAAAGATTTAATATTTAAATGTATCTAACTCCACTAGCTCTGCACACTCAAAATAATGCTATATTCCCACGATGAAATGCAGTTTGTTGCATATTCTGAGCCAGAATGGTGATGAGAAATGAGTAGAAGGAAGGAAATTCCCAAATTCTATCCCCGCTCTGTTCTTGAAGTAGGGTGTTGCCTTCTTTTTTCTCCTGCAGCTTTCCCATCAATAAAGAGAGGATATTACTAAATATCTCCCCACAAGTGTGTGTTTAGATTAAAGTTTACGCAATATTTTGAACACACTAATTTCTTTGCGTTTAGTGTTATTTCAAAACTTGAGCTAATGTGTTCTGAATGCCATCAGCAGTAATGTATTAGAGATGCAAATGAAAAATTATTTTAAATGGCCAAGTATTACTAAGCAGCTACAGGGCGTCCCTGCTATAATTTGCCCCAGTATACGTTGGTTCCGCTTGTGGGAACTGTTCTAAATCCTCCCAATTCCCCACTCTTCCTTCACTTAAAAAAAAAAAAAAGACCAATTCATGCAAAATGGAAATTCCCCGCTTTATATCTTTTTTGCTATATATCCACTTTTTTTGAACATATCTTGGAAGTTTAGTGAGGATGCCCTGTAGTGATTTAGTGATTTCTTACCTTTTTTTTTTTTTAACATATTTTGGAAGTTTAGTGAGGATGCCCTATAGTGATTTAGTGATTTCTTACCTTTTTAAAAATAAGTGTCTGCATTTTTATTCTCATCTATGGCCATGAACAGCTGCATAATTTGGTATTTTTGTGAAAAAATAAAGTAATGAAAAATTAACATGTCTTGCAATCTCTCTCAAGCCCTATATTCTTCATTTTTGGGTTTTTTTTGTAACATGCAAGACAAGATGAAACAAATGTCTATTTTTCAACATGGTTCTGCAGGTCAGAATTTTTCTATCATATTAACATGTATAACATAGTAAGAAACACACACCTTAACAATGCATTAATGCAGGTCTCACAGAATCTGTGTCCACATTCCGTCTGTTTAGGATTGCACAATATGAGATGACATTTTTCACATTTATACTTGTCCTCCACTGTGTTTACAAATTTCTCTGTGTAACCACCTTGTTTTGGAATATAAATTGATCCAGGAACGTGATCAGGGTTTGCTCTTTGTTGCAACATTTCCACAGACACAGGGGGTTCTGTCTTTTTACTGGTGTCCATATTGTAATAGGAAATTTCTGTAAAAGAAAAAAAAACCAAGACATTTCTCTACTGCTGTAACTTGAGACATATATGCGCACGCACACACACACACACACACACACACACACTCATTTTCTACAAACACCATTTGTAATAGCTGTAAAAAAGGGAGTAGTTTCTCTATACACATTTACATACACAAATATAAAAATGCAGGTGCACATATGACCACTGATAGGCAAAGTTAGCATATTTGCATAATGTCTTAAAATGTGGTGAAATTATAGAAGTACTGTTCCTTTTTCAAGGGCTCTAGAAGGCTGACACACAAATACTGGTCTTTTGAGCAAAGCCTTAATTATTTGAGGCAAACACGATGGGGCTTGGGCAGAGGAAGAGGTAGAAGACACATTCCTCCTTTCATTCTGCAGAAAAGGTCTCTGGTATTACCCAGCTAAGCCCCAATAATCACAACAGGCTGGGGCAAGAACCAGCAAATAGTCTGCCTCTGTCCTCAATGTAGGAGTTTAGGGACAGCAGATCCACAACGTGCACAGAACCACTTGGCCCCACACCGTTGGTCCATCAACATTACCCCTCTGTGATGAGCATCACCAGATCACAGCAGAGGGGATGCGGAGTCAGGTTGACTCCTCCACTGTTTCAGTTGCATTTTAGGGGTAAAGTACAAGCCAGAATTTGTTTGAATACAGGTGAAAACCCATATTTTTATTATCTCAAACTCCTTCTAAGCTTTTCAACCTGCATTTCCATAGGGAAATGATCAGGTGGTACAAGTCCACTTTTCAGGTGGAAACAGATCCACATTACATGACTACTCTGTGAATGCAGCAGAACCCAGCACAAATGACCTGTTCAGGAAAGAATTAACACAGTTGCCAACTGAATTACAGTATCTATTATGGCAGAGATTCTGATATCTTACGGTCAGTGTATAAAGAATTGGAAGGACCACAGAAAGGAAAATTTATTAATTCAATTTAAAACAGCTTTAAATAGTTTTCCAACCTATCCTGTGCACCAAAAAATCAAGAGTTCCTAATAGAGAACCTACACAAATACAGGAAGGAAATTAGAATTAATTATGTACCCGAGATAGTACCTGCTTATTTACAAGGAATGGTGTATATAGTTATCAACATGGAACCTTTCTATCAGGCAGAATCAGAGGGTAGAAAATATCCAGAGGGGTAAGAAATACAATTCATTTGCAAATTTGACACTATCAGTTTAGGATTAAATAAAGACTGTGAATGGCTAGCCAGCTACAAAAGCAGTTTCTCCTCTCGGTGTTCACACTTCCACATCAGCTGCTAGAAGTGGGCCTCACCCTCCCTGACTAAATTGACCTTGTTATATCTAGCCTTAGTCTTGATTGGTACTCTTTTCATATGCCTGTATATTTATACCTGCCTCTGGAATTTCCACTACATGCATCTGACGAAGTGGGTCTTTGCCCACGAAAGCTTATGCTCCAATAAATCTGTTCGTCTATAAAGTGCCACAAGACTTCTTGTTGTTTGTTTAAATTCAAAGGGGCCCAATTCTCTTCTCTTATACATTAGTGTATCTCCATCAACTACTATGGCAGTATTACTGTCAATTCCAAATATATCATACTGAAAACAACCCCATGAAAACAAATTTACTTTATAACTACACATGCTATTTATGATTTCCTGGTTCCTTTTGTAATTAAACAAAAGGTTCTTGTATTCACATGTCAACAGGGTAGCATCAGACACCTACATAACTTTAGTGGAGAATTAAGCAGGAGATTGCATGTTAAGGGAGGAAGAGCTCTTATTCTAGAAACTAGTGCTTCAATAACTGGAGTATAAATAAACCAGACCTAGTCTGCTGCACTGAAATATTCTTCAGATATCAGAGGGCCCTGTGTCTTGGTAAACATGATTTGAAGAGATATCGAGGAGGGGAGTGTTAGATGAGAACGAGAAGACTTGCACCAGAACTCTACAGAGAGCAAACATGGATTATCCAACACAGTGAACAGGGCAGCTGTAATCAAGCCAAGAGATCAACAAGGCCTGGACAGGGGTGTAAGCGGCAGATGTAACAAAGAGTAAGCAGACTGTGGTGATACTAAAAAGGAAAGTGCCAAGATTCCATGATGGTGGTTATGGGGAGGAGATTAAGAAGCTAGTCAGGTAACTGAGGTTAAAAGACACAAGAAGAACTGAAGATTCCTCAATGGTGAGAAAGTTGTTCACTGTTGGAGACTGTTTCTGAATGTGTGAGCAGTATAGCTGAAGGCGCACAGCTGGACAGTGGGGACAATATCAGTATGAATTTAGGACCCATCTGTCTGGAGGTGGTTGCTGAAATCATATGAGAAGATGAGATCACCAAGAGATAAGAAGAGGAGAGGGCTGAACTTTGGCTGAAGTACGGACGTCTAAAGGAAAGTGTCTAAAGTGGGGATATTAAAATGTGTTTAAGTAATAATGTAATTGATGAAAAATTTCAGTTGTTACATTGTTACACACAGGGCAGAGCAGTTAGCTCCATGGGCGCCTGCACATAACCATGAACATTAATTGATAAGCCCAAACTCATGAGTTAACCGTGCACGGGGTTACACTTTCACATCTGTAGTCTAAAGAAGGACCTGAATGAGGTAAAGAGTTGTGAAAAGGGGCCACTTCAAGCCACTGCTGAAGGAGCAATCTGCCAGTTAGAAGGCTCAGAAGAACATACCACTCCACAAACTGGAGCAATAGAATGGTAAAGAAAAACAATGGAAAACAGCAATTCCAGAATTACTGGACAAAGAAAGTTAGCAAATTAAGGGAAGAAATAAACTAAATGAAGATGTTCTAAAACCTCAATGATAATTTTGCTTCACCAAGAGCTGAGCAATTAGCTGTAACAAGGGCTCATACTCAAGATTCGACCAGAAACACACATTGAACATAGAACAAGCAGCAGGTGACAGTTTCATAGAGATATGGGATCTACTTAAAGACTGGATTGTCAGCTGGCAAATGAGACTTCATACTGATGTATCTACACAAGGCCCCACAGGAGTCCACTTTGTGAAATGACATATATTGGACATCTCAAAGAAAATTTTCAGTAACATACGAATAAATAGTATCTTCCTAGATAACTCTCCTGACAACTATCTTTTATCTTCAAGAAAGTGTGCCAGACATGAAAAATGAAAAAAATGTGCAGGATCTGGTAGTCAAATGGGTGAAGAACTCTCTTCTGTAACACGCTAGAAAATTCTTACAAAGTAAAACAATTGAAACCAACCACAAAGCAATACAGTAATAAACACAGAACAGTTTTAAAGGTATATAGACGTGCACTTTATTTACTATGAAGGCTGTATTACAAAAGGGCAGGGAATTTCATGTACATGAATACTTTACATTATGTGCTCAAACTGACTAATTTGCATGAATGGAGGTACCAGCACGTGCAGATGCAGGTGAAACTAAAGGTAAAACACAAATTTAAAAGCCTAGGAAGGTTGTGGAATCTCCATCACTGGAGATATTTAAGAGCAGGTTGGACAGACATCTATCAGGGATGATCTAGGATGATGCTTGGTCCTGCTGTGAGGGCAGGGGCTTGGACTTGATGGCCTCTCGAGGTCCCTTCCAGTTCTAGTATTCTATGATTCTATGAAATCTGGGTTATGCACACACCTCAGCTTTTGAAAATTTGGCACTACATTTTCATGTGCCTTTTTTTTCATTTGGGTGAACTTTAACAGAAGAACTAAAGTAACACCCTCTAAGCACACTTCAAAATCCCAAGGAGATGTAGCTTTAAGACACAAGGTTCCACCTAGATACGTTTCTACAGCAACCATAGTACAAAGAGGCTGATTTTCAGAAAACAGAATCCCTGAAGCTCAGAACAATAATAGATCAATGGATCTCTCAGTGTTCAAGTGCACCTTGTCACTCAATTAAAGTGACAGCTCTTTCAGGAACAAACTCTTAAGGATTCAATAGTAGATCTCCATTAGAAAACACAAACTGGAATCCTGGAGCATGCCTGTGAACAAACAGAACAGTATTTTTCAGAAATTAACACAAAGCCACTAGTTACTCTATGGCTTAATCATATTTTGCTCGCTAGAGTTCTGGTGCAAGTTCCATACTATAATGATTTTCATTTTTGTTCCCATCACAGATTTTACATTTTGTATATACTTGCAGCTACCATGATAGCATCAGCTAAAATTAACATGAAAAGGTGATGTACAAATAAAACCTTTAGGAGTGGGAGGTGCTTGACTCAAAGACAAATATAATTTTAAGTCAGCAGTAAAGATCTGGGCGGACATGACTCCCATCTTTTGAGCAACAGTGCTCAATCAATAATATAAATACTGAGTGTTAAACTAGATTTTCTAATATATAAGCGTATGTAACTTGTAAACTGTTGGTTAGTGAGTAGGACCTCAGCAGAGAATAAACCTGGAACTTCAACTCATGCCACTCACGGTGAGATCAAACCATTCATAAAAACACCGCCATGTGTGATGAAGTATTCAGTCTGGCATGTATAGCTGAGCTCAGCTGGATGACTCAGGTGGCTCAGTTTTGGAGGGGATCATTAGGGTCTCCAAAAGGGAGGGCAGACTGCCCACACAACCACAAAAATCCAATGGTATGGTTCTTGTTCAATAAACCATTTCTTAACACAAATGTAATCATTCTCTATTATCCAGCCTATAACTTCCCTTTTCTGGGAAAAATAATTAAGATACGGGGTGGAAAAACTTTCAATTCTTTTAACATCAAGAAATCAGGTTTCAGACCAGCTCAGGTATGGAAACAGGTATTATTTCAATGACCAGATATGTCTGCTAGCTCCATGACATCTTTCAGTAATCTTTGATACCATCAAACTACAAGGCGCTATTTACATCTCTACTGGATTTGGCAGTGGTGGAAGTAATTGCCCTAGAATAGTTTTGCTTTTCCCTCTCATAGAAATATTCTTCCTCTTTGAGGCTCTCCTTTGTGGTGTTCCACAGGGTTCTCTCTCGTCACTCCTCTTACTCAACATGTAGATGAAGCCTTTGGAGGAAGATAACGAAACATGGGCTACAGCATCTTCAATGTGCTGAAATACTAGACTGTTCTCGCTTGAACTTAAGGTTAAACAACACTAAATGCCTTAACTTTTAAAAAGTATGTAAACAATCTATAAAGGCTCACTTTGTATACTAAACTTAGAAATGTTTTATACTGGACTTTGACTCCTACTGTATAAGTCCATGGGAACGGACAACCATGCCAAGACCATGGCTGGAGGGGGGGGGGGGGGATCAGGTGAGCTCCCTGCCTCTGTGGGGTTTTAGGTGGAAGGGGCAGGGCTGAGGGCAACCAGCTCTCAGTGTCACCAGGACGGTGTCACACTCCTCCCACTCCACACAGCATGCTGCCTTGAGTGCAGCGCACAGTGCCCCTGTCTCTCCAGGCAGCTATAATAGCCGCCCAGAGTGCACTGTGCAGAGCTCTGGAAACAATTTAAAGGACTTGAAACTTTGGGCACCACTGCCTCAGCAGCAGCAATGGTGGCCGGAGCCCCAGGCTCTTCTGAATCACTGAGCCTCATGGCAGTTACCTCTTTTACCCCGCTGCCCGCTCCCTGTCGGCAGGCCTGTATAAATCCATAACTGCAGTGCTTTCAAAAAAATTGAGAGGACAGTTTTTGAACAGTAACTTAATCATTTAAAACTCTAATTTGGGAGATTCTAACTCAAAGCTAATTGCTGAGCACTATAATTTTATTGCTCAGAACTATAGTGCACATTATAGGGCCAGCTTCAGAGTCCTTAGTTTGAACCTGTCCTAGAAATCATCTAGCATAGACTTTATTGCTTATCTGTGTAAGGGTCAAGTTGCAGACTGTTAAAACAAAGAATATGACTGGTGAGAGCAAATTGGACTCTCTTACTGAACATACACGAGAAATATACTTTTATAATTTAATTCAACTGTATTAGCACCAGTGGCTAGAAACTGGAAGCAAAAGTAAATCTGCTGACACAAGAGTGTTCCAAGAGCTAGAAAGCACGGGGATTCCCAAGCAAGGAACAAATGGGTGAAATAAGGAAAATAGTTCTCACGCGTAAAATGAAAGCTCTAACAACAGTTAAAAAAAAAAAAAGATTACACAAGGAATATTTGTTTAAAAGACCAGACGAGATGATCAACTTGGAGGCAGAGTTATTTAAGTGACACAAACAACTCTCAATCTTTGAGTAAACCAACATCTATGGGCAAATTCTGTAATACTCATTTGAGACAAGACACCCATATATGAGCAAGACTAAAACTACAGGATTCCCCATCCCCCCAGAGGTCTGTATGAAGATCAAGTGTACAATCGGGTACTTTGGTTGCAGAGCATATTGGTGGATTTTAAAACAGAAATTTTTCTATGCAGCAATAGTCTATACAAAATGTCTTTGTGCAACATGCTAGCAATACTAAAAAAAGTTTCAGTGTAAAAATATCCATTCTGCATTTACATCAATACTAAGCTTTAATCATATTCTTTATTCTTCATACACACAGCCTCTTAGCCATGAAATATTAAAGAAATATAGTGTATTCCTATGATAATCGCACTCCGAAATATTATCCTATTATAGTACTTCCTGAAAACCTCAAAGATTTGGGCACCAGTGCTTTAGGCAATGTATAAGAAAAAATTATTTGCAGAATGCAGTAATAAACAGAAATACTGCAGATACATGTAGCTCTAAAAGTCCCAGTCTTACTACTCATGTCCCTTTAAAGTGTAAAAGGAGGTAAATGTAATACCCAAACATCTTATTAAACAGTGTAAGGAAACCATAATTAGTTGCACTAAATATGAATAGTTATATTTCCAATATTTAAAGGAAATGTTAACTGTTTTTCTTAACCAAGCGGCTATCAGTTATAAATAAATGGTTACAAAAGTAGATTAAAAAAATTAGATGCAATTATGTTACACTACTAAGGAAGAGCATGAATGTGAAGATAGATTTTTTTTCTGCCTAAAAAATAATTTAGTCTACCAAAATCTTAAGATTCGTTCTTGGACCAGAATACAGTTTCTTCGGTGGTTTTCCAACTTTTTAGGTTGCATAGCCCCTTTCCTAATACTGCAGTCTATTGTGAATCACCATCTGAGACAAGGTCTTAATATATCTATGAGGAAAAAAGGCGGGGGGGGGCAGAGTTATGTAAGGAATAACACAATGTTGTGTTGTCCTGGTTATTATAATTACTATAATGAATAATTTTACTATATCTACTTTCATTTTGGATAAGGTTAGTGCCTCATAACAGTTCCTATTTGTTGATCAGATGCTAAGTCGTAATATATAAAAAGTGTTGTCACCATTACAGAATTTTTCTTGCTTACTTGGACAAGAGCACCCCAGTTTGAAAACTACAGAATACAGTAGCATACCTGTATATCCAAACAGCAAAAGGACATCTAAGCTTGGACAGGGAGCAAAAGACTAGAACAGAAAAATGAGCAGTGAAGCAGTATTCTTCCAAACAATGATGGGGATCCCTTCATCTACAAAATAAGCAGAACACACACCAGTTTAACTTCACATCAAAATGGGTTGTTTACAGTGGTTTTTTTTTTAGAGTACTCTCAGATGATCAAATGGCTAGATGTTTGTTTAGCCTTTTAATTTTGTTGACAGATGGCAGTCATCTCAGTCTTTAAGAATTACTCCTAGTTTGCTTCTGTGTAAGGGAACCATGAACAAGCCAAGACATTTCCCATTTAAATTTCAGAATTCCTTATTTTAATCAGTTATTTTTGTTATTTTGTATGTCACTGTTATACAGTGCTTTAAGGGCACTTCATTCACACTTTTTATTAAACAGAACCACATATTTTCTTCCCTGTTAATTTCAGAAGCATAACTAAATAGGGGACTGCATATTTTACAGAGGTATTTCCAGGGCAGAATATGCTTTACAAACAACTAATTACACTGAAAAAGTGACAGGAACATTTCACTCAGAGAGATGCTTCCACCAGTCTAATCAGTTCAGTACATACAGCAGAATACATATTTTTGCATATTGTTATTCCTCTAGAATCCTAAATCATAGGCAAGGAATATTTTTGTTATAAAGATTTCTTAGTGTAGATGACCATTCCTATGATAGCTACCACCATTCCAACACACACACAATAAAAGATTCTTGCATTGTAGCATAAACATGTCTAGATGACGATAGATACATCACAGGAAGATAGTCCCAAAGCCAAAAAAAGAACTTCCACTGAGGCTGCATAGTCTTCTTTTAAAAATCTTTAAGTAAACACCACACATAAAATAGAATCAGGAATTAAATCCAAGGACAACAGTAAGTATATTCAATTGCAACAAACACCGGCCATATGACATGACATACAGTCTCCTAAACCAAGGGTGAGGAACCTAAGGCCTGGATCTGGTCCCTAAGGCTCAGTAGCGCCCAGCATTGGAAAGCCTGTGCTGGGACTCCACCCCACATAGGGGAGGAGCGCACATAATCTACTATCTTGGCCCCCATAGGCTCTGGTGTGCGAGGAGAATGTGGGGAGCGTCTTTCTCCTTAATAGAGGGCCATGTCAGTGCGGTTTTTTATTTTGGTTTTGCTTCTCACTTGCGTGTGGGGGCCCCTGACAGATTTTCCTGTCGGTTGGCAGCCCCCGACCCAAAAAAGATTCCCCACTCCTGTTCTAAACAGTGAGGTCATTGTTCTATCTTGCAATAATATTTATAGAAGCTCAAATATTTTCCAACGGATGGACTATAATCTTACACTAAACATACATTTTTGAAGTCCATGTTCTTTTCAAATCTATCGTCCTGACATATCTAATGCAATTATGTTAATGTACTTACACATTAATAACTAAATATAAATATATGTTAAGAAGATTTTCTCTACACTTGTTTTCCAAGTATTAGTAGGGAAAAAGACAGAAGTTCAGTTAAGACAAAAAATTCTGATTTTTAAAAATCCTCAGGCTTTTGGTGGGAGGGTTCCCTTAGTACAACATTTTTTAAAAAAATCTTTCTTTTTAAATCAAAATGTTGGGAAACTACCATATTTGAAGCATCACTCCCTATTTTTATGATGTAGGTAGTATAATGGAATCAAAAGTAAGAAATCTGCAGCAACTGATACACTTAAGTTTTGGGGGAAATAGTATTTTTCCTCTTGCTTCCAACCATCTGAATTTAATATTAATTCATTTTATATTAAAAAGAGGGTGGATTATTTCTATCTTCCTCTATTCAAAACATGAACTCAAATTTCTTTAGACAGGTAAAACTACACCTGGATTTACTGCATCTTTTTTGTGGTGTTGAGGAATCCTTGTAATTTAATAATTTAGGGTGAGATTTTCAAATGTGCCTAAACTATTATAGGCATCCAATACCTATTCAAATCTTAGTGAGTGTTGGATAGTGACGGTGAAATGCTCAGGGATGTAAGAGCACCTGTAAAAAGTAACAAAAAGCCCTCAATAATAATGGGGGATTTCAACAATCCCCATACTGACTGGGCATATGTTACCTCAGGATGGAATGCAGAGAAAGTTTCTGACACCTTAAATGACTGATTCTTGGAGCAGATAGCGCTGGAAATCATAAGAGGAGAGGCAATTCTAGATTTATTCCTAAGTGAAGCACAGGATCTGGTCCAAGAGGTGAATACAGATGAACCACTTGTTAATAGTGACCATAATATAATTAAACTTAACATCCCTGTGGTGGGGAAAACACCACAGCATCATTTAATTTCAGAAAGGGGAACTACTTAAAAATGAGAAAGTTAAACAGAAATTTAAAATCCAATGCCAAAAGTTAAATTCCTGAGAGTTGCATGCAAACTTTTTGAAGATACACCATAAAAGAGGTGGATTTAATACATACCCCAAATTTAAAAACATAGTAATGGAACCAAAAAAGTGGCACTGTGGCTAAACAACAAAGTAAAAGAAGCAGTGAGAGGTAAAAATGGCATCCATTAAAAAATGGAAGTTAAATCCTAAAGAGGAAACCAGAAAGGAGCATAAACTCTGGCAAATTGAGTGCAAAAATATATGAAAAGCCAATAAGGAGTTTGAAAAACAGCTAGCAAAAACCTCAAAAAGTGGACTCAAAAAGTAATATAAAAAAAATATTAAACATCAGAAGCAGGAAGCCTGCTAAACAACCAGTGGGGCCACTAGATAATTGAGATGCTAAAAGAGCACTAGAGGAAAATAAAGCAATTGCAGAGAAACTAAGGCTACGTCTACACTTCAGGCTTCTTGTGCAAGAATGGCCGTGCTTGCACAAAAACTTGCAGTGTCTACACTGCACGCACGTTCTTGCGCAAGTAAATTTACAGTAAAGCATCAGAAGAGAGGGCTTCTTGCACAAAAGTTATTCCTCTCCCCGTGAGGAATAAGCCCTCTTGCACAAGAAGACAGTGTGGACGGGCAAAAGGGATTTCTTGGGCAAGAAAGCCATACGGCTAAAATGGCCATCAGAGCTTTCTTGTGCAAGACAGCATCCACACTGCCATGGATGCTCTTGCGCAAAAGCACATCTCTTGTTCAAAAGCACATGGCAGTGTGGACGTGCTCTTGTGCAAGACCTTTTGCCCAAGAACTCTTGTGCAAAACAGTTCTTGAGCAAGAAGCCGATTTTCATGGCTGAGGATGTGAGGGAGATCCCCAAACATGAGCCATTCTTTTTAAGAGACAAATCTAAGGGGAATGTCCCAGGTTGAGATGTCATTAAAAGAGAAATTTGAACAAATTGATCAACAATAATAAGTCACCAAGACCAGGTGACATTCACCCAAGAGTTCTGAAGGAACTCAAATGTAAAACTGTCAAATTACCAAATGTGGTATGTAGCCTATTATTTAAATCAGCTTCTGTATCAGATGACAGGAGGATAGCTAATGTGATGCCATGTTTTAAAAAAGGCTCCAGAGGTGATTGCAGAAATTACAAGCTAGTAAGCCTAGCATCAATTCTGAAGAAACTGATTGAAACCATGGGCAGTTGGTGAAGTCACAACTGGGGGAAACAAGCCCCCAGCCCTGCCTCCACAGGGCAGCGTGCTGTGCACGCGCTCCCCCTCACAACCACAGGGAGAGGAGGGAAGCAGATGGGTGAGCACTCACCCCAACCTCCCCAGCCCCAGAGAGAGCAGAGGATGCACGGCACGGCCCCAACCTCGGAGGAGGTTGGAGGATGCACAGCATGGCCCCAGCCTCTCCAGCCCCAGAGGAGGTTGAAGGGCGTGCACTGCATGGGAAGGCCCCAGCCTCAAAGGAGGGCGCACTGCGTAGCCTGGCTCTGTCCTGCCTTTCCAGCCCCAGAGCACAGGGAGAGTGGATGCTGGGGACAGCAACATTCTACTGCAAGCATTCTGGGGGCAGAGTGTGGGAGGGGCTATGCCTGGGGGTTTAGGAAGACAGAGCCTTCTCCTGCCTTACAGACCCAACACCCATGATTGAAACTACAGTATAGAACAGAATTCTCAGTAAAGTTCTATGCTAGAGTATAGAACTAGAGTATAGATAAACATGATTTGTTGGGGGAAGAGTCAACATGTTTTTTATAAATATATCATCCTTCATCCATCTACTAGAATTCTTTGGGCCGGGGGGGGTCAACACGCGTGAGGAAGAGGGGGACCAAATAGATAATGCATATTTAGGCCCCTCACCAAAGGCTCTTAAGCAAAATAAGCTGTCATGGGACAAGAGAAAACATAATCCCCACAATACATGTACAAACTGATGGGGTCTAAATTAACTGGGCACCACTGTGAATAATTCTCTGAAAAGAGCCAGTCAATGTGCAGTGGCAGTAAAAAAAGTGAACAGAATGTTGGGATTCATTACGAAAGGGACAGAAAATATGTTTTCTCTATAAAACCACAGTACGCCCACATCTCGAATACTGACTGCAGATGTAGCCACCCTATCTCAAAAATATATGTTGTAATTGAAAAAAGGTTTAGAAAATGGCAACAAAAATGATTAGGGGTACGGGACAGACAGATTAATGATTCTAGGACTTTTCAGCTTGGAAAAGAGATGACTAAGGGGGTCAAGGATAGCAGTCTATAAAATCATGACTGGTGTGGAGAAAGTAAATAATGATGTTTTATTTATTCCTTCACATAACACAAAGCTTAGGGGTCAGTAAATGAAATTAATCATCAGTAGGGTTAAAAACAAACAAAAGGAATTAATTCTTCACATAATTCACAGTCAACCTGTGGAACTCCTTGTCAGAGGATGTTGTGAAGGCCAAGACTATAAAAGGGTTCAAGAAAGAACGAGGTAAGTTCAGGGAGGATATGTCCATTCATGGCTATTACATAGGATAGGCAGAGATGTGGTGTCACGAACATCTATTTGCTAAAAGCTGGGAATGGGCAACAGAGGACAGGATGATTCCCTGTTCTGTTAATTCTCTCTCATGGACCTGACATTGGCTTTGGTCTGACTCAGTATGGTGGTGATTATGTTTTATGTTACCTCCCCCCCAAAAAA